CACCCGCGCAGCCAAAGCTGCCACCAGCTCTTCACGTAGGAGCTGTGAGTCCAGGAGAACCGTTAAGTTACAGACCTCCTCTGAGTGGAGGAGCACCGCCCCCTTCAGAGCCAAGGGCGGTGCTACACTCTGACTGTTTGGCCCGCAGACCCAAAGCCCCTCTGTCTCGCAGGCACCACGTCTGAGTCTATTCCTCCCCATCCGGATCCTGACAGCCGCCAGGCACTGCCTTAGTGCTTCTACTCCGTCACCTGCCTGGCGCAGGGGGGAGATGTATAGCTGGGTATCACAGGAGAACCTGTGCTGATGGACAACCTTTCCCGGTGGCTTCATACAGATATTAAAGAGAAGTTGGGAGACCAAAGATCTCTCATCCACCATCATCACTAATTGGACTTGACCCTTTAGGGAAGAAGAGGATCACCAAAGAACAGCATCCCCTGCTCTGCTCCCTTGGAGCTGGTCTAGAAGGATATCATGGTTAATCATATCAGAAGCCACTGAGAGATCAAAGAGGTCCAGGAGGGTTGCCTTCCCCTGGTCCCAGTCTCTCCAGAGGTCACCAACAAGTGTGGCCAATGCAATTTCAGTGCTAAATCCTAGCCTAAAATCCAAATACTGCGGTTCCAAATAATTCACATCTTCTAAGGCCCTCTGCAGCTGTGGTACCATCACCTTCTCTGCCACCTTTCCCAAAAGAAGAACTTAAGAAACTGCTGTAATGTGTCCCAAATAGTCAAATCAAAGGATAGTTTCTTGAGCAAGAGGCATACCATGGCCTTCCAGAAGTGATGGAAACACCACCCAAAGAAAATTGACTAGTGCTCAGATCCCATCTCCTCTTCCCTTGCAGAAGACCTTAATCAGTCATGAAGAACAGGGATCCAGCTGAGAAGTGGTGGAGTTGAGAGCCCTATCGGCCTCCTCATGAACTCAAACTAATCCCAGATGACCCACAAGATGAAGCTCCAGTCAATTTCTTTGGCACTGACCAGCAACAGTCCAACTTGGCTTGGATCTGGGTGTTTTTTTCTGGGGAGTAGTGGGGGTTTATGCCTACTGCCTGATCCTCCCTTTCTCTGGATTGCAGAGAGAAGTCCGTTCCTACCAGCCCCCAAAGCCCTCTAAGCCCAGTTTAGCCAAGGTAGCTGGCAGCCATCACCTCCATAGTCCTTTTGGGTGTTTTTGAGACTTCTTCCTTTGCAGATCCTCCTTCCTCCTATGGAGAACTTCCTGTAAGAATCTAATGTCACACCTACTTTCAAACTGAGTACAAACTATTTCACTTGGGTGCACGCATGGAGCTGCAAAAAGCCAGCAGGAAGCTACAGCAGAAGGCAGGTTCACGATATACACCATCCATATCTCTCCAGTTGATTGTTTGGATATCCTTGATGTGGAGGAAAAGTCCACCATAACCCGTCAGGAGGACTTTCATTTACTCCAGGAGAGATTGTATGATTGCTGCATGTTGGCGGATTACTTACCAAGGGGTTCTGAGTATGAAGAGGCCTTCTGCTTGCTCTTCCTGGCTTACTGGCTGCAAAAGTTTGGATGATCAAATGTTCTCCTATCAACACTGGAGGGTCTGTAGTTGCTGTTTGATTGACCTAAAGCCAATGACAGAGCTATGTTGAGTTATGCCAGTCAGAAATAACTCCTTCAACTTCTCCAGGCTTAATCAAAGGTCTCTTTACTCAGTTTGTGGGAGTTCTGTGGGAGCGAAAGAGGCTCTGCTCTTCCTCCAGCATAGGGAGGTCATCTGCTTGAGTGGCACATGAGGGCCTTGAAGCTACAGAGGGACAGAGGTTGCAGCCTGCTTGATTAGCCCCACAAGCCTGCAAATCGTTCTCTGGACCCGGAGCATCTTTGCGTTTCAGTGCTTCTTATGGAGGACTAAAATATTCTCTTCAGACAAGAAGGGAGGGAGACTTAGAGTGGCCTAAAAGCTCAAAACAGGAACAACCTGAATTTGGATGGAATGTGGGGCTGACAGCCTCCTTAAATTTATCTGTGTCTTCTTATGCTCACATCGACTGGACGGGTACCTAACAGCTTCTAACCTGGGGGATGGAAGTGAGAGCCGGAGGGCGCATTCAACAAGCACTTCCTCTTTGCTGCAGAAGGGCTCCCTTTGCTTCTGACCTCCGTTATCCTGAGTTTCCGCCTTCCCAGGCTTCTTGCCTTGCCCTCCTCATCAACCTTTTGCTCTCCCCTCGGTCAGATTACCTGAGCCTTTTTTGTGTGCGCATCCCAAACCCTTGGCCTCACAAAGAGCTCTTCACGTACAGCGATTGGTTCTGACTGTGGCTTTTTTCCGTTGTTCAAATACTGCGAGCACCGTCTGAGCAGCGAGCAGGCAGCGCTCGGACCTGTCACTTAAACCAGAGGACAAGACAGGTCTTCTTGAAAGGGGGAAGAAGCTGGAGTGAGCTTCAGCCCCTCACCATCCTCTGGAAATCTTCTATTTTCAATAAGGAAATCACCCTAAATGACACAAGGTCCAGTTCCTGACTGCATGCCTGGGAGTTCATAGATTTATTTGGCATTCGTAAGAGTCCAAAATGTTTGCCTGTTTTGCTGGGTTTATCAGTGTGTTACGTGGGACTCATAGGAGAAAGTTGGAGGCCGGCATGCGATTCTGCTGAGGCACAGCTCATTTATTATGGCAGCCTAAAAGGACTGGGGATACAATCCCTTCATACAGAGTTACGCAAATGAAATATACGCACAAGCGAATGGAGCAACAAAGTGTTTGGTTGACTACAGCAGCCCATCTGGGTCTCCATTAGGAGGCAATGAAGGCGATCCTCCAAAGACTGCAGTGGACGAAGAGGCAGGGTGTCACAAGCACCGTTTTTTTCTGGGGAGTTACTTTTATGGGTTTCTCCTATGCTGGCCTGGCTTCCCAGAGCCTTTGTTCACCTCTTAATATCTTTTCCTAGCTGTACCAACATTCCTTGGTTTTACAGCTGAGCTGAACAGGTTAGTTTTCCCTGGGAAATTGGATCTGGGAAGGGGTAATTTACGTGACTTTCCTGTGCCATTTTCCTACCACAGAGTAACTCGCCTTTCTTCTGTTGTTCAGCTGCCTCCGGTGGTTGCAAGACAGTGTCCTCCGCTTAAAGCTAGCTCTTTAGGTTCCCTTGAGGTTTTAATTCTGTCAGATGCCTCGATGCTTGTTTTGGGTAGTTTAGGTGGCTTAATAATGCTGCTTCTCACCCCAGCTCAGGAGTTGGCAGCTTTTCCCAGGTCAAGGCTCTGTAAATCCCCTCTCCCCAGGGCCTCCGCCCTGGTGCAAGTGGCAGGTGTGATACCCACAGCCTGCAGGAGGCTCTTGCAATCGGTTAAGAGGTTTGACTTGGAAGTCCTAAGCCAACCACTTCCTTACCTTCGCCTTTCTAAAAATAATAAAGCAAAGAAATGAAGTTAATGTCCCTGGATCTGATCCCCTTTAGTTCAAGGCTGATAGATCCAAACAACACATTTATTTCTTAAGCACTACCAGTAGAAGGATAACTTTTCTTCTTCTTTCCTGCTCAGGTTAACCACGTACTCACTGGTCACTTAAAGGGAAAAATAATTCATGCATTTATTTGGTATTACATGTATTCATATACCATCCAGCTCCCAAAACTCGGGGCAGTTTACAAGTTTACAATAATGTGGTGATACTCATACAATAAAAGTTTACCTGATCAAACAAATGGTCAGAATATAAACTATATCCCTCAGTAACCTCCAATAAAAATGTATGGCACTTTTATTTCCCAAGTTTCAATAAAAAGCCAATAAGAAGACTTGAGATGA